AAAATGCTCTATTCATTTAATAAAAGGTCGCTTTTGCGACAATCTACATCAAAGGGGCCTGCGCTATAGCACATCATGTTTTTACCACACGAGAATTCAAAACCTACATTTTCACCCGAGCATTCGACGATGGTCTAAATTGTATACATGTCAGCATCTCTGTCATATAAGTCCTAGAATGGTACTTACTGATCCTTTTCCGTCTGGCTGAAGACAATAAAATCCTGTAGAAACATGCTTACATGATGGTGTCCAACTACCATTGGGAAGCTCAAGTTTGTTTAGTGGATCAAATGTGGTCGCATTACTCAAGTCAGAACTATCTTTACTTTTAGGTGGATTTTTTGTGGTCTCGATATGAAGGTCTTGTTTTTGTAAGAGCTTATAGAGAGGCGTGTTGATTTCTGTGCTACTAGTTGTAACGTGCTCGGCCTCATTCTCATCAATATTTTTTAAAAGAGGCGTATCTGCTGAAGGAGGCTGTTGATTTGCCAGAGATGTATCAGCATGCGGCACTGTTGTGGTGGAAGTAGTGGTAAGAGGAGGAGGAGAAGTAGGAGAAACAGCAGTAGTAGTGGGAATAGTGGCTATGCCTTTGTAGACATACATTGTTTCGTTAGGTCCAGTCTCTAAAACCTCCATACTGAATTCAGTATTGGAGGTTGCTGTCGATGTGTTTAACGACTGATGTACTTTGCGCTTCAAATTATCGATTTGTTCCTGGTCTTGCAAAAGTTCATCGTGTTTAATTTGGATCTGTTCTTCAGCCAACTCGATCTGTTCTGCTACCAAGCTGCGGTAATCGAGTACTTGTCCTGATGGAATTGTTAATATCTCCTCTCCTGGCTCTTCGTAAACTTTGCTGTTTAGATCAGAATCAATACCCTCAATATAAGGATCCAAGAGAGCTCGATCAAGTGCGTCATAATAATCAAAAATGGGGCTTTGCTCTTCGCCTTGAATAGGCTCTATCTCCTCTGGGGGAAGATACTCGCCATGGTCATGGCCAAGCATTGGCATTGGCATTGGAATGGGAATATTTCCATCAATTGCTTCTTTGTTTGCGTAGTCAGTTGTGTCCCGAATAGGTTCACTTTCAGTAACAGCATTGCGTGTATCGTTATCTTGCAGTGTCAAATCACTATCGTAGTCTGCTCCTTGTTGAGTTTTACTGGTAAATGTGTTTTTTGTAGCACTTGGATTCCCATTAGCACCCTTTTCACTTAATTGGCTGTCGTTCAGGTCTTTATTATGACGGTTATCCTTGAGCAGAGACTCTTCCTTTGCAACCTTATCCGTATTTGTGTCCATTGAATTCATATTTGCCATCTTTTTCAGCGCTTTATTGCTGTCTTCATGAATTGGTTGATCTGCAGTATTGAAATGGACTGCACTATTGGAGAATTCTTTGTAATAGCTTGAATCCCCATCATGTTTTTCGTTATCGCTTGATACAAGATCAGTCCATTCGACTTTGATAGAGCTTGTATCTGCCGTATCAGCTCCGTAGTGTAGATCAGTAATCAACGGTTTCGCAACTACCAAAGTAACACTTGATGTAATCATTGCTATACATGTTAAAATACGCATTTGAAATTGGATAATAGTGAACATGAAAAAGATAAACAGAGAGAGACATAGAGATATTTGCTATTGGAATGAACCATTTCACCCGATTTGAAACTGGCCTAAATTTTAGTATAGCAAATAGTAGCCCATATCATAGCTAACAGAGAAAAAAGAGCATTTGGTTGGTTACGCCGACGTTGACCATTATCGCAGCGTTGATTTTCTGCTGTTAGCATTCACGGCAATAGACTATATATGGTCAAAATGATCATAAATTGCGTGTGTTTATCTTTTAAGAGCTAGCTGGGTCCAGGACTCCTTGTTCCAGAGCGTTTCACCGTGCGGTTGATTATATTGCTAATTTTCATTATCCAAAGGTAGAAATATACTGCAAAAACAGTGTTTTGCATTTAATTGGCTGATAGTCTGAATACAATAAGGTTTTGAAATGCAGGGTCAAACAAAAGTGCAATGATTAATTCAATTGACAGAACCCCCATATTCACTTTGGATATCTATATATATGTAATACGGCTTCTACCATAGCATTTTTTTTTTTGGTTTTTGTTTTTTTTTGTATATATATACATATATATTCATCATGTTACTACAGTACTTGATACGCACTAGCGCAATTGTGTGTTCAACACTCACAACGCCTGTCATGCCTTTGGCAATGACTGCTGCCTACATGGCATACTACTTCCACAAGCGATACAGGTCTCCATTGGCTTCGGCTCCATTGGCTCGTGCAGAACATTTTTTGGTGAAATACTTTGGCCTGATTCCTCCTCCAAATAATAGCGAAAAAACTGATACTCTGTCCAGATTTTTGATCCGTGTGGGCCAAGATCCTTCTTTGTCGCCTGTCAGCGTCTGTTGGTCCGTTACCGGCTCTCCCACTGTAATTGTGAACACTCTCAAAGGCATTAGAGATGTATTGATTGATGGTCAAGTAAAAAGTAAGGTAAAAAACGAGCCCTCCAAGGTTCAGCGTGGAACTATGATTCGGGTACTCCAAAATCTGGTCTTTGGTGGTGACAACTTGAACAATACTATCGGCGAAGTAAGTGTAGATCACAAAATAACAGACGTCTATTTTTACTGAGATCGTATAAATCAAGGAATGGCGCTGGCGTCGACATATTCTTTTGCCTCCCTTTCAACCAAAGCAGCTCGTTCCCAAGTTGTTGCCGTATGTTGCTACTCGCGCTAGTTCTTTGCTGGATCTATTTGAAAAGCAGGCGGCAACTGGCGAGGCAATTGAACTGGATGAGTTGTTCATGGATATGACTATGGATGTAATCAATTACTATCTGTATGGCCGAAACGAATTGAATTACGATATAGTAGGCGGCAGAACTAACTTGAAGGTAAAAAAGTGTTTTACATGAGCAAATCACCTGATATTTACTCACCATCTAAATGTAGAATAAACATCATGAACTTGGTTTAGGGTTTCAATCTATCGAAGCCGTGCTTCCATTTGGCATCAACAAGACAAACTGGGGCCAAAGAATATATAAGCCTGCTCGCGAATTAATAAAGACGTTTATCAGAGACTCCTTGGTATACGCAAGAGAGGATTACGAGAGAGACGTCAAAGAGTTTGAAGAGCAAGGTATTCCTGAAAGGCAACGCTCTTATCGCTCTGTTGCAGCCTGTGCTATTGCAAGTGGACGCTACGACGCTAATCAAGTAGATCTTGTTAATGATATGCTTACTCTGACCTTTGCTGGCTACGATACGACTGCTCATACATTAGCTTTTGCCTTTTCTGAACTCGCTCGCAATCCTCAGCTTCAAGATGAGCTCTTTGCTCAGGTGCGTCAAGTTTTGGGTCCTCCTCCTGTAGCTCCCGAAAGTATCACTGCTGAAAAACTTGCCCGTATGCCTCTGGTTACTGCTGTTTACCGTGAAACTCTTCGCAAATACCCTGCTGTTGCATTTATTCCTGTACATGTAAATCGCGATACCGTTGTTGATGGTGTTGTTGTTCCTGGAGGAGCAGAGATTTGGTGTAATGTGCGTGGTATTCAGATGAACCCTGCCATCTTTCCCAACCCGGATGTGTTTGATACTAGCCGCTGGTTGCGTCCTGACGACAAAGCCTCTGATGGAACATCGGATAACGCATTCGATAACCTTACTACTACAGGCAGCAGCCACGATACAGTGACTCCAGAGACACAGTACAACTTTCCTGATCTCTCCTTTACTTTGGGACAGCATGCTTGTCTTGGAAAGAATTTGGCCATTCTTGAACTGAGAACCGTTATTGCATGTGCCATGAATCAATTTACGTGCACGTTGAAAAAGGACTCGATTATTGATACAAAAATTGTACTTACAACTAAACCTCGTCATGGTGTTTGGTGCAACTTTAAAAAGCGTGATTAAGCACGTATAAATTACTATTATCGTTTATAAAACACAATAAACGTTCATTTATTAGCCCAAGTTACTCTCGTTTCTTATCCTCAATAGTATTTTGTACTAGTACAAAATTCGCCTTTTGCTGTTGCTGAATTCTATGTGAATCTGTGGCATCGTACACAGTGTAGCCTGCAAACGCTACAAAACTCAGTGCAATTCATAATTCCAATTACAAGACTTGATAAATGACATATGGCGGCTTGCTGGGTATTGATGAGGCAGCCTCCCGTTTTCGCTGAGTAAACAGCACTTCTTCTACTAAATTTGTCGCTCTTGCAATGCCATGTTAAGCATGTATCTGCACTATGGCTTGGAAACGATTCATAGTTACGCTGAAATGTACTATTTTATGTCTCGAGCAACACAGTCGATTTTTTTGACTAAATTCAAGTGGGATTATGCCTTGGCTCAATGGAACACCAAGATGTTGTGATCACATCATACATACGTTGCTCATCTGATCTCCATAGAAAGGGTAAAATGCCTTGCAAACGCCAACATACGCAGCTTCGTGCAAGGGCTCCAGGCCAGCATACCAGACAAACGATTTTGTATAAGGATATGAAAGAGTATCCATATGAGATGCCCATTCGACAAACTGAGCATGCTTATATCGCTCTTGCATCATGTCGTGCATGTTATTACTTTGGTTTGCGCTATCACACATAGCCCAAATAAACCCATCCAAGGCACCAGATTCAATAGCATCGATCAACGATCTCAACACAAGCTCTATCTCGATATCTAAAATCTCGACGCTTTATCCAAAGGCAACATAAGCGACTTTGTTATGCGTACCCAAAAACTGCATTCCGGTCTTGCGTCAAATCAGGGCATGACTTGGAAATAATCGGCTCTACCAATTCTACCAAGGGTCCGAGTGGCACTGTTCACAATTTTGAGGGAATCTTCCTAATTATTTTTAAATGCTGGTATACTTGATCGAAAGACTAATCAGTATCTACATACACCACAATTTGAAAGTAGATAAAAAGAGGTCTCACCGAGGATCGAACTCGGATCACAGGATTCAAAGTCCTGTGTACTAACCATTATACTATGAAACCCTGATACATTCTTATTGATTAATAAATTAATATTATATATTAATTGATTTTGAACATTTTCAATTGTCACGTGATATAACGAAGTTCTTTCAATATAGTATTTATTTGTTTTTATTTGAACGGATACACTTTTTTAATTAAATAATTATTTGCAATGCTTAGTATCCCTAACTAAATCTTCGTCTCCTGTGATGGTTCTATCAAATTTGATCAAATGAATAGGACCATTCAAGTCCTTATTTTTCTCAAAATCATCGACCAAACTTTGAAGATCCGCGGTACGACTTGCACTTGCAGGCCATACATGATCGCTAAAATTCAAAGGCGTTACTACACATGTAAAGCGTATCGAGTTTATATATATATATATGCTACTTACGGGTAACAGCATTGCAATTCCCTTCGAGTGGTGATAAAACGAGTCAAAAATTCTTGCTCACTCTCTTGTCTCATTCTTGGGCCTGTCAATGTCAATAGTCTTACAATGTTGATATCAGGCTCCACATATTGAAACCCATGTTGGATAATAGTATCTATATATAAAAGTAAGCAACAAACTTTGAAAGAAGTAGCTGTTTGCAGCTGTATTGTACCATAAAAGATAGCTTGGCCAAGTGCGGATGTGACACCACTCTGAGCAGCATATCGTGCGCTGGGGATCATATAATTTTCAAATACCCATTGACGCTGTGTTTTTGCAAATTCACCGCTTGCGCTACATGCCTCCTTCTTCCAGGCGCTACAGAAATCCTCTAGGCCCTGCGTTGTTCCTCGACTTTGGCGGTCGCAGTGTGGCAAGCTGCTGATTTCATGACATCTGGGTAAAAATTGCTCAAGGCGGTTATTGGGGCTGTTTTTCGAGTATAATTGGATCAAAGTTTCTGCATCCCCTGTGCCGGTCTGGTAAATGAAAATATTCGTAAAAAAAAAAAAAAAAAGTTCACCATGCATGTTCTTTCTTTGTTTTTTGTTTTGCTTACTGTAAAACCAGCATAACCACAAGTGAAGCCTCTCAAATCTTGGATATTAGAACATGAACTATTTTGGCAGGTCAATTTGGGCAATCCAGTCGAAAAAATCAATATGGAAAACTTACGCAAATGCAAAATTAGGATCGCCGTCTTCGAATACGTTTGTAATCAAGCTAGCCATTTTGATGGTATTGACATTCATTTCGCTGACCTCAGGTAAACCGCTTAGGTCATAAAACGTTGTACCATTTTTAGGAACTACACAGCCTTTTTTCACAGCCTGATCCATGGTTAATATTCAGTCAACACACCATTGCAAAAAAAAAAAAAAAAATAAAAAATAGATATATACCTCTTCACTTGACATGAAATTGAACTTATTACACATGGCTGGGTGTGGTTGAAAACGATTATGGCAATTTTGATAAACATTTTCATCCAACTCTTCCTGAAGAGAGTGTGAAGCAAGTAGTAAGACCGAAGCCAAAGTTGAGATTGCGAGGAATTTCATTTACAAAGAGGAAATTTATTGAAATATATAGAATAAAGAAAAAAGGAAAAATGGTTTCGATTAAAATATGTTTAATTTGTATCCAACAGCTTCTTTCTCTGTCTCTCTCTTTCTCTTTCCAACTATAGGGCTCTCTTTCTCCTTAATCAGTCGCTATTAGGGAAGCAGGTTGTTTGAATGCAGCAATCGATTTCAGTACGGAACATACACACATTATCGCACTGATCATCCCATTCCAGCAAGGGACATCCTTCACAGTCTGCTAATGCTGCTTGGGCTTGATTGAAAATTTGCCTCTCTGCAATCCTTATATAACCAGCTTTTTGGCAAGCATCCTCCTTCTGGTAGTAATCTATTTGTTCAGGGGCAAAATCATCAAAAGAATTTGATGCGCTGCTTTCTCGACCATCACTAAACAGACTCATGGCATGGTAAATAAAATTCTCTGGCAGATCTAGCAAGTCGTCAAATTGTCCCCAACCTCTCCAATGAGTAGGCTGGGGCGGATAAGGCTCGGGAAAAAATTCAAACAGAGGAGCTATCGTCGAGGTAAGAGTAGGCATGGGTGTGGCTGTGGAGAAGCAGTAGGGCACATTTGTGTTTGGGCAATACCCAGTAGCCTCTCTTGTACAATAGTAATTTTCGGGACAGTAAGGACTACATATACGAAGAGATGAAAACAGGAGTATTATTAGTACGTCAATTTCGCAAAAAAAAAAAAAAAAAAAAAAAAGGAGACGGATGTACGCCTTACCATGCCAACATATACATAGGACAAAGAATAGCTCCATCAGAAAGCGTTGATTCAATTGGAGTCGTTACTTCAGGTAGAATGCTGTTTACGTTCAGTATATGTACGTTCAATTCACACAAACAATTCAAAGCAATTTACCTGTCTGATGGATGGGCTGATGGTGGCTCACTACCAGGACAATAGCCGTCGGTTGCAAATGGACAAGGTACGTTCTGTCTGAGACACGTATCAGGGCATTCGGCAGGACTAAAATTGTAAGACAAATTATTCAATACATGGTTCCTTCCGCTCTAAATCACAATGAACAAACCATAAAATAAATATGAGAGGACAGAATACGGAAGGCACTTGCGTAGGCTCTTCTGTTACGAATGAAGGAGTTGACGTGACGCCAGACCGATTCAATATCGATGTAAATATCTCGTGATAAGGATCGTAGCTTGGGAAGTAAGGGTAAGGATATCCTTCGGTATTGTAAATTGTATCGCAGTCTTGTTCTTCAGTTTGCGTCTGATCCAATATGCTTGGACACCATGGCTTCTTTGCAAAAGGACAGCGCTCATTCATGGGATAAATACAATTGTAGGGACATTCGTAAGGACTGAGCACACAGTTGGGTCAGTTTTTCTTTTTTTCATTTAAATCAATAAAAGGGTCAAAGTACTCACCAAGGCACAACATAATTGCCGCATTCAATGGGCATACCAGGCTCTCGTGTTGTTGTGACAAACTCTAGCTGAACACTCACATCAGTCACGGTTTTAGTGCAAATGGGACATCCACCTTTATCGCCATTATCGTGTCTATGATCTCCATGATGGTATGCATGATCGTGCTGTGGATGGTGGTCTTGATGTACATTTTGGTACGCCTGATGTCCAAAGCCAAAAGTTTGGTGTCCCCAGCTGTCATCATTGGGGACAAACCCATTAAAGTCTTCTAAATTCTCTGGTGGCGGCTCGTCACTTTTATCGCCTAATGTGCGCTTCTCTAATGAAGGCTTGTTGCACACTGCTTCGCCGCTTTTCGGGCAGCAGTAGTCGGCATTGGGGTAATGGCAATCGCCAGGGCATTCGGATGGACATGGTGTCACTTTACAAGCAACAAACGTTTGGCAAATGGGCTCGCATACTGGCTCTCCTAAGAATGGGCAGCATGGTGGACCATTGTAGCGACATGTAAAAGGGCACTCGTCAGGGCTAGATTTTCGTATGTTAGATGTGGCATTACGGTTGTGGAATGTGCATATACCATGGGAGACGCTTTGTCAAACACACTATACCATGGCATTCAAGTGCTTGACATATTGGGATGCCGGCACCAGAGCACCCTTCACTATCTGGATACACACATACTTGACCTTGAGGGCAATGTGGACATTTCAGCTGATAATTGGGACATGCTAATGATGAGGAAACGGCTGGCGAGAATAAATCGGCTATATGCCTTATCAGTTCAAAGCCAGTTATTCACGACGCAACTATTGACAACTATACCATCCTCTGAATCAATTACAATCGCATTGACTGTAGCAAACAAGACAAATGGGAAATAGCAGCCTCTCAGTTTCATAATTATCTTGTAGAGCCAAATAAACAATAATTAATAAAGAGTGAAATGTAATATAATAGTGTATTTATACATTCTTGTCAGTATTTTGTTTATTAGGATGGGCGCATCATTGTTTTACGCCTTTGCATAAAACGATGTGCAACTGTTAATGCGGGCCCTTTTCTCTGTGAGAGAGGGCACTGATTAGGATATATTACGTGACGCTTTCGGCATCATCTCTTTTTTTCAACTTCTTTTTTTTTTTTTTGCTACAAACAAAATGGCTACAGCAACATTGACATCCAAAGCTATCAAGCGGATTGTAAAGGAGATACAGCAATTGCAGCAAACACCACCCGAGGACATCCAGGTTATTCCTGAGGATGAAAATTTGACAGAGGTTCACGCATGGATCCGTGGGCCAGGTATTGTATACGAGAGGCGTTTTGTTTTTTTGTTTTTTGGCTGCTATGGGTTGACTGACAGAGGGCATGGTAGACGGCACACCATACGAAGGGGGCTATTTCAAAGTTAAATTGCAAATGGACGAAAGCTTTCCAGACACACCGCCGAAAGGCTACTTTCTGACAAAGATATTCCATCCCAATGTGTCAGAGAAAGGGGAGATTTGTGTGAATACGCTCAAGAAAGATTGGAAACCAGAGCTTGGCATTCAGCATGTCTTGTTGGTAAGAGGTTTTATCTGATGACTCGAATCAAGCACGCTTTATTGAATTGCAGGCCTAGACAATCAAATGCTTATTAATTGTACCTAATCCTGAGTCTGCATTGAACGAAGAGGCAGGGAGATTGTTGCTGGAACAATACGAAGATTATGCAAAAAGAGCGAGATTGTACACATCGATCCAAGCAACCTCGGGGAAAAGCGATTTTATCGCGCTGAGCCAAGATCGCTCAGGTGTTTTGAAGCCATTGTCAAACACAACTCCTGCATCTCCCAGCGTCCCGAGCAAAAAAAGACCCCAAGAACAACAAGAAAATATTAAAGAGCAGCCGCAAACTAAGAAATCAAAAGTGAAGAGTAACGATAAAAAAAAGGCATTAAGAAGGCTTTAATAGCGATAGTATGGTAGCTAGATAAAAAAAAAAAAAAATCGTGTATTAATTCATTATATAAAAAGGGCAAGTGTATTATTATGGTTTCATTGTCTTGACAATAAAGTTGGTCAGTTCCTGAGCAGTGGTAGTTTTC